TTTTACATAATCGTGTTGTTTTATCTGACATCATATTTTAATCACACACTCTAATATTACAATAATATACTTATAGAACATAACTGTTTCAATTTTCAGACTGATCACAAACTTTAGAAAACATAGATTTTATAACAACACAATCTTAAAATTGAACATGAAGCATCCAAAACATTAATATGTTCATTACACATTAAAAACATTAGTCTACTAGGATGTTTATGCTTAACAACCCAAATTTTGTTCATTATAGAAACACTATTCAAAAATAGTCTTAATACCAAAACATAAATACTTCATCCACTTATCTAATTAAACTTAAACATTCAAAATACTAAACACCAAAACCTACACCCACTGACTTTCTACCAATTTGTCTTCACATCAACGATGACCACCGAATCTTCCACTCTTTATAATGAACACCCAAAGTTTGGTTGGAAGACCACGGATCTGAAATCCTATCATGTCTCATATTTGAAGGTTCACCTTCTTTGAATATTAGTACCACCACTATCCAATAAACTTGTCCTGCTTCAACACTTTGCCCTTTCTTTTTGTATTGTGAACTTCTCTGTAGAACCTGTCGTCTTTCACACAGTCAACAATATCTATCAACCTCTGGCTCCTCCACAAGTAGTTCTTAGTCACATACCTAGGAAAATGTTGTATCAACAGTTGTAGAAAATTCTTATCAAAATATCTCCAACTCAAATATACGTCAAAACACCAAAACAATTTTAAAAATCTCACCATCTTACCATAACATTCTTTCTGGTTTTCCTTCCAACACGAATGAACTTTTCCCACCGATACACCTTCGATTTATTAGGTTCTTTATCATTGTCAAAAGGATTACTATAAGTATCCAAGTCAGAAAGTTCTAACTGCTCCTTAACCCTTTCTGGAATCCTGATATGTTCTTGAATCTCGCCAGATGTCATGTCCTTTCTAGAGCTGTCATTGAAACATCAAATTAACAAGTAATATTACGTAGCTTTACTTGATCTATTATAACTTAAAAGAACAATTTCAAGTATACGTCGGACTGTAGTTCATTACATACTACTATAAGTATAGTATGGGCTTGGGACTTCATTAAATTCCTTTGTTGTCTTGTCCTTGCCAGAACTGGAAACGCGTTTTTCAAATGCCTCTGCATGTATTTTTTCAAATTCTTTTTGAATCCATTCTAGATCAACGTCTTTGCCACTCAAATCCCAGAAAAATATTTAACTATTCAATATTATTCTTAAATAGACACACAACATGGAATTGATTTCTACCAGCAAGACATTATCACGGCATGGTTAAGTTCAACGTGCATGTTAATACAAGAAAATAAGACTTTCCTTACTTGACATTGTTTCCACCATTGTTTGATGATGCCATTTGCAGTGTTCAACTTAATATCATGGTTATGGAACAAGGAGATGAAAACATTAAACCTTCTGAAATGTATCGTTTTTTGTTTGGGTAATGACTTTATATAATAATTGATCATATGTTTCTATTTAAGTCATGACTTCTCCGATTCTCTCTTTAAATATTACATGTACCAACGTCAACCTTCCACATTTCTTCACATTCTTTTTGTTTCATGTTCTTTTTATAATTTCAGAGTTTTTTTAAAAACACCTTTTAAATCATACACATCCAAATAAATCTTTTATGGACTCCAATAAAATATTTATATTTTTCACACGTACCAATAACTTAAACAACTCATCTACATGTTCCAATAATCAATACAATTCTCCCAAATTTATAAATTAGGTCCCATTTAAAAATTACACTATACCCTAAACTATATTAAACATATTTATTTTCCATTGAAGATGATTTTTTAGAAACGTTTTATATCAAATCACATGCATGTAATATTAAAGGCATTGTTGTCTGACATGACATGGTTTTGGTAAAAAAATGTTTAAAAACTACAAACAATATTCAATCATCATTCTTTTCTCATTCACTAAAGTATTTTGCCTGCAAACATTTATATACTTTTATAATGAGATCGGTACACTGTTCATTTGGTATACTTTCTATAAAAAAAAACACTTTTTTATGTATCCACACATGGCCCTTGAGAGTGGCAATATGAAAACTATACGAAAAATCATCATTTTCTCATAATTACACACAATTACACTCTCTTTGTACTTATTTTCCTGTGCCCAAAGCATAAACAGTCTTACCATATATTTTGGATGCTCTTTTACACTGTAACTTTTAGATAAAAAAACCTTAATCTACCATATACATCACACACAATGAAGGTAGCAAATATAAAATACATTACCAACACAATCTTGGCTGGAGACTTCATAATAAATTACATTTTTAAAAAGGTAACATATGTTGTCATTTATATTACATTAATCCAACACAATCTACCACTGCAATCTTCATAATAAACTAGATCCTTACGAACACAGTCTTCATAATAAACTACATGGTTATTCAACATAATCTACCACACCATTGTTGTCATTTACATTACATTAATCTAAAAAATTAACAGGATGAAATTCATAGTACATATGACACTGCAACATTATAACACAATTCTTTCAAGGGCAATACAACTTATACTAGACACTAATCTAGAAAAATAAAAGAACCTTCTATTAACTACAAGCGGCCACTTTGCACCAGCATCCTCCAAAACCATTTTCAATGGTTCAAAACCCTAAGAGCCACTTTTGTCACAGAAGGATGGCGGATGCTGAAACCAAAAATATCTCCTTTTTTTAGCCCTATATTCTTTACGAAATCATACCACCCGTGTCTGATAAACATTTCAACACAATATTTCCTTACACTCGTGTAGACTTCACAATCATACTTCTCTATAGTATTTGAGTCCAACATCTCTATCCTTCTTAGTCCATTCAACGAACATGTCTTAATGACATTTTGGAGGATTTGCTGCACACACACACACACGGATATATATATATATATATATATATATATATATATATATATATATATATATATATATATATATATATATATATATATATATATATATATATATATATATATATATATATATATATATATATATATATATATATATATATATATATATATATATATATATATATATATATATATATATATATATATATATATATATATATATATATATATATATATATATATATATATATATATATATATATATATATATATATGTTTCAATTAACATAAAAATCGCTATACTTATATTTTGCCCACAATACAACAAACTGAACATATAAATTACTATGAATACTACAATGTTACTTACAAGCACGCTTTTTTTTAACGATCTTCCCATCTTTGATTTTCTTCTTCCAAATATAGTACCTTGGATGGATTAAAAGGTCTTCATCACTTGAATCATCTTTATAATTGTCTCCATCAGAACTGCAAAAAAAAAAGACAGAGAAATTTTTATCTAATTTCATTCCAGACCCATTATACATCTGTTTTCCTAATTGCAAAATCCATTACATAAGAATAAATTATTTTTTAACTGTACTTATACTACCATTCAAATTAAAAATATACGAGCAATTACATGTCATTGTCAGATGAAATGAATATGTGAGATGGTGTAACAACACAAATATTAGTAAGTTTCTTCCCATCAACCTCAAACTTCCCACCTTCAGCATCCTGAACTGAATGGACATTAACCTTCAGATTTAATGGATGACCTTCTCCTACTCCTTCCATACCATTAATTCCTTTACCCTTTCTATCTATAACGTTTTCACGTGTCCCAACTTTCACCGGAGTTGATGACGATCCACCCGTAGTTTTTGCAGGTTTATAGTCTGTATACCATTCTTACAATACTCCTCCAACTCGAGATAACATTGGTCCAACCTCCTTCTTTTTCAGGCTGTTTCATTTTCCAGATCAGTGAGAGATCTGCACAAACAAGTTAACAATCAAAGACATTGCAATAACGTTAAGACTATATGTTAATCAACATGCAAAATACTACTAAAATACCTCTCCCAAACAAACTCATTTCCAAGAGTTTTCTTTTTGGATGACATCCTTTTAAAGAAGATGAAAGAATAAGAATAATGGGGATTGCAAAGACCTTGTACTCATTTGAGAATACAACTGCTTTTATTTCCTTTCTTTTACCTACTATTTTTATTATGTTTTGATGTCAAACCCACCTATATGCAAAGGTGTATTTCTTTTATTATTTAAAATTATTAAAAGTTTGGTTTTCCTATTAAATTTAATCCATCATTTCAACAATTATTCTTTCCTTTTCTACTCATTCATATTTATCTAAATATTGTTATCTTTTATTTTATTTACAACTTTATTTGTCAACAATTTAATCTACTCAAAATTATTTTTTATTTCTTCTAGTCTTTTTCTACTCACAATTATTGAGAATTTATTTTTATCTCACAAATGTATTAAATTATACAAAAATTAAATATATTTAATCTATGTTTTATATTTTTATTAATTATTTAAAAAAAATTATATCTTATATTATATTAGTTTTTTTAGTCAATTTATATTGATTTCAAATTATTTTTAGTAAGCAAATACGTGCCCACGATCCGTACTCCTGCGAAATGCACGGTATCCTGCTAGTCTGCTAAATTAATTAGCAGCATCTTCCACTTGATTGTCTTTATTAACATTAATTCAATCTCCTAATTATTGACACAAGAAAAAAATTCAAAATGTTTGCACATGGCAAAGCAATTTAGACTTTTATTATAAATAAAAACAATAGTATAACATTGACCATAAGACCATTACAGCAACGTATGCTAGAGATTTGAAATTAACCATGTGCCAAACGTCAATTATGCTAACTAAATATATAAACAATTACTAAAATATTATATGCTTTCTTGGATTTGTTTTATAGTGTACACAATATAACTTTTTTTCTATATAAGAATGATGAAGTTAGATATCATAGTAAATAACCAGCAACCAGTACTAGCTAGCTTATCAATATGGCTACCCAAAAAACTTTGCTAGACAAGCCTAGAAAATCACTTCCCAAAAGTTTCTGGTTAATCCTTTCTTTAGCTGCTATCATAAGCTCATCAGCCCTTATTGCTTCTCATCTCAACAAACCTATTTCCTTCTTCCACCTCTCATCAGCTCCCAATCTGTGTGAGCATGCTGTTGATACAGAATCATGCTTAACTCATGTATCAGAAGTAGTTCAAGGCCAAACCTTGGCTAACACAAAAGATCAAATATTTAGTACACTCTTGTCCTTATTAACTAAATCCACCACAAACATTCAAAAAGCTATCGACATGGTCGACGCTATTAAGCGCCGAATTAACGGTCCTAGAGAGGAGACAGCTTTGAAGGACTGTGAGCAACTGATGGAGTTGTCCATAGACAGAGTTTGGGACTCAATGTTGACACTGACAAAAAATAACATTGACTCACAACAAGATGCACACACATGGCTAAGTAGTGTGCTCACTAACCATGCAACTTGCTTGGATGGTTTAGAAGGTACATCTCGGGCCGTTATGGAAAGTGACCTTCAGAACTTAATATCAAGAGCTAGATCTTCACTTGCTGTGTTTCTTGCTGTTTTTCCTCAAAAGGGTCATGACCAATTTGTTGATGAAACATTGAATGGGGAGTTTCCATCGTGGATTACGAGCAAGGATAGGAGGTTGTTGGAGTCCTCAGTTGGGGACATAAAAGCAAATGTTGTGGTGGCTGCTGATGGCAGTGGGAAGTTCAAGACTGTGGCTGAGGCTGTGGCATCTGCACCTGACAACGGTAAGACAACATATGTTATTTATGTGAAGAAAGGAACATATAAAGAGAACATAGAAATTGGCGCCAAAAAAACCAATGTGATGCTCGTTGGTGATGGTATGGATGCAACAATAATTACAGGAAACTTGAATTTCATCGATGGAACAACCACCTTCAAAAGTGCTACTGTTGGTATGTACCCTTCCTCTTGTATTAGATCTAAATGATTAAAATTATTTATAAAAAATTCGGTATACTAAGACGACTATTTGAGTGAGACCAATTCCACCTTCCACTTGTGAGGACATAATTTAAAGACAGAGCACAAAACTTCGTATAGATTCACCCAACACAGAAATTATTAGCACCTGACATGATTTGAATCCAAGACCTTGAGAGAGACACATTCTCAGATCCCAAACCATCACTCCAGTTCATGCCTACCCAATAATATGGCTTTACTTTTACAGCTGCAGTTGGTGATTCGTTTATAGCACAAGACATTTGGTTCCAAAACTCGGCAGGTGCAGCGAAGCACCAAGCAGTGGCTCTCCGTGTTGGCTCCGACAAATCTGTCATCAACAGATGTCGCATTGACGCCTTTCAAGACACTCTTTACGCACATTCTAACAGACAATTTTACCGCGACTCAGTCATTACAGGTACCATAGACTTTATCTTTGGAAACGCGGCTGTAGTGTTCCAGAAGTGCAAGTTAGTTGCCCGAAAGCCCATGAGCAACCAAAACAACATGTTCACAGCCCAAGGCCGAGAAGACCCAGGTCAGAACACAGGAACTTCAATTCAACAATGTGACCTAACGCCAAGCGCAGACCTTAAGCCCGTTGTCGGATCAATCAAAACTTTCCTTGGCCGCCCATGGAAGAAATTCTCTAGAACTGTTGTGTTGCAATCCTTTCTGGACAGCCACATTGACCCGACAGGATGGGCGGAATGGGATGCCGCAAGTAAGGACTTTTTGCAAACTTTGTACTATGGAGAGTACATGAACAATGGACCAGGTGCAGGCACGAGCAAGAGAGTGAATTGGCCTGGTTATCATGTCATCACAAGTGCAGCGGAAGCTAGCAAGTTTACAGTAGCACAACTAATTCAAGGTAATGTTTGGTTGAAGAACACCGGGGTGGCCTTTACTGAGGGCTTGTAGTATGAGCATGAGTGAGCAAGTGTGGTGGTTTGTTTCTACCGTGGATATGGATGTCGTAGGAAATAAAATAATATGTTTCTATTTTATGGGCAGAAAGTTTGAAAATTTCCTAATGCAGGGTCTTGTAGTCTTGTAATGAAGATCTTGTGTAAGGTTTTAAAAAACAGTCCGTGATCGTAAAAACGGCTGCGACAAAACAATATTGGTACGTGTCAATATTGATACGCGTCAATATTGATACTATTATTTACCGTTCATGTTAAAGAACAATTTATGATTAATTCACACTACAACAATTGTAATCAGTATCACAACATTTATATTAATTGAAATCGCGAAAGTCTTTAAGCGAACTCTAAAAGTTAAGATAATAAATTAAAAATACATATGACTAGAAAGGAAGAGAAGCCATTATGACAACTCATAAGTTCTTCTAGTGATGCATGTGTGTGACTTCTGATTTAGCGGTGATGTTGGAATTTTGACGAATTTCTGATGTTAGAATTTCACCCAAAATTTGGATAATAATTGAATCAATCTTGATGAATAAAAATAAATTCTTTCAATTGATTTCTCCTTTTATTCTTCATTTTTCACTCTAGTGAATCAACCACACCTTACTTGCAAAATGATTCCGCTACACAAAAGTTTGAGAAGAAAAAAAAAAGATGAATTGGGGAAGAGAAAAATTAAGGTTTTGAGAGAAAAAGGGGAAGAGGGAGAATATTTCTACAGAGTTTCTCTATGCCTTCAAACTGAAGTTTATTCAATCTTTTATCTATGCAACTGCATTTACAATGATAGGGTACCTCCTATTTATAGACTGATATTACTTTCACACCAAACAATCTCCAACTAACATTACTCAGTTAAAAACACAAAATAAAGCTAAGTCTTAAGTTTCTCTCAAAGACACACTTCTTCAACATTTCGAAAGATATACAATTTCTACGCAGAACATTTCGACAACAATAGACTCTGTCGAATTACTACTTCAACACAAAGGATTACACTTTCAATACACCACCTAATTCATTGTGTCTAAGCTATCTACATTCATAATTGTTCTTATTCTTTTGAACACTTCGACCTGCACACTTTTTATCATGATGTCTGCAGTATGATTCTTAATTCTGCATTATCTCAAGTTCATCTTTCCATTTGCTAACTGCTCTCGAAGATAATGAAACCTCATTTCGACGTGCTTACTTCTTCCACGTGCTATCGGATTCTTCGTCATGTTGATAGAATCCATGTTATCGATCTTCATGGTAGTGTCATATCCCAAATTTGTCCTATCTTGTTTATTTTCTTGTACCTAGCTTTGCGTTGCTTCATGATCTTCCTTTAGATGATCGTTTGTTCTTTGGCCATGATCCTCTAAGATTTAGGTGATGAAAGTCCTGTGAATGCTTATGGTGTTTGTAAGTTTTTGTTAAGGTGATTTGGTTCCAAGAAGAGGGCAAGGAAGAATGTGCCCTCATTTTAATGTTCAAGCAATTATGACATGATCAATGACCTAAGTTATATGATTTCATCCATTTTAACGGATGATCATTGGTATTGAAGTGTTTTGTATCCTATTTCAACTTGATCACAAACTTTGCTTCTATGAGTGTTGAGTGATGCTTTAAGACTGACCTTAAGGCTATGTGATTGAACAAGCTTAATGTTGGCTAGATTTGATACAGATTTGCCCAAGAAATGATTATTAAAGCTTCATCCTTAGGTCATGTTTGTTTTGATCCAAGTTTGCAAAATTAGTGGATAATTAATCTAAGAGGTTCATGGTATGTTGGAATTAAGGTTATGAACAAGTCATTTGCGTGTGTTGCGGTGAGAATCAGATATCAAGCTATTAATTAACTTGAATCACAAATCATGAAGTTTACCAACGAGCTTTGGTTTATCCAAAGGAAAGGGTAAAAATCGAAGAAAACCCTAAGTGCGCTGTGTAACAACAAAGCTAAGAGATCTAAGGTTCAGAGGTTGGTTATACCTAGGTAAGGTGTTAGCATCATAAGTATCTGTACTACTCTATAGGAACCTCTTGTTAGTATTTGTGTTATGCTAAAGTCTGTTTGCTAAGGGAAAGGTTTTTAAGGGAAATACTTAAGGTATATACACTAAGTATACACGCCAAGACGTCGCATCTCGTGTCTGTTGTCGTAACCGCGAAAAAGGGCCGGAAAACAAACAGAAGAGTCGCCACCGAACGTTACTTATCCCAAAGAGAGGGAAAGTAAACGATCGAAGAAAACCTAAGAGACACTACGCCAGAATTTAGTTTTAGCAGCGCATACAAAGACAACGCTTTTTAAAAAAGCGCTGCTAAAGGGTCAGTAAAAAAAGAAAAAAATTGCCTACCAAAGACAACGTTTTTTAAAAAGCGTTGCTAAAGGGGGACCCTATGAAAGCGCTTTTTAAAAAGCGTTGTGTTGCACCCCAAAATTTGCCTAACCTTTTCTTACTTGGTTTATGTTTCATTTGCATTAGCATATCATTGATCTAACATTTGCATGGCATAGCATTGTTCATTTAACAGGGGATTAAGTTTGGAGCCTATCTAGAGGTTTTTATGCAAGATTGAGAAGTCACCATAGTCATCAGGAAAAGGTTTGGGTCTTTAAGGAGTTCATTTGTTTGTATGGGGTTAGTCTCCTAATTTGAGGACCAATGGAAGATCATTAATGGATGGTAAAGTCTTGACCAAGGTGAGAGGGTGTGATTAGAGCTTAGTGGAGTGCCTTGAAGGTCATGGTGGAGCTCAATCAATTCATTGTGCCAAGTGTGAAGAGCCACAGTTGAAGGTGTTGCAAGTAGGGTTTTCATCTGAGTAATCCTAAGTCAACTGACCAATTGAGGAGGATCAAAGCTCAATTCTGGGTCTTCATAATCATGGATAGTTGTGTTGTGACACATGAGATAATATTCCAAGATCTATGCAAGAAAAGTTCAAGGTGTGAGGAGTTGCTAAATTAGGGTTCTTAGGGTAAAATCCCCTATTTAGTGCCTAACTTCAAGACCACTTATCTCAAGATGCAAGTCTCATTTCTATTTTTGGTCAACATGAAACTTGTATATCATGCTCTTAGATTTAATTTGAGTGCTAGAAGTCCTCCATTGGATTTATAGAACTCAAGTTATGATCCAGACAAGTTACAGGTCATCTGAGGAATGTGAAATTTGTCTGTGAAAGTTCACCAACTTCCAAGGAACTTCTGACCTAGAAGGGTGTTTCTCCTAACATTTTGGCCATCATGAAAGTTGTAGGTCTTGATCTTATATTTCCAAATTGTACTAGAAGTCTTCCATATGATTTGTAGAACTCAAGTTATGAGGTTTACAAGTTAGGGGTATTTTGGGAAAGGAAGATTATAGGTCATTTGGCATTATAGGTCATTTTCTCCTTCTTGCAAGCTTCAAATGCAATTTTGTTCAACACAAAACTTGCTCAAAATGATGTTTTTAGGTCAAATATATACTCATGATGAATTGATTTGGATTTAGGTGAGACTTGGTTTGAAATATTTTGTAAAAGGAAGAAATTAAAGGCATTTGGTTGAAAAATTCATGATCAATTCATTTGTGCTCAAAATGGACCATGTGAATACTCGTTTTGATCAGAAAAACAATTCTAAACACTTTGGCAATTTTAGAATTTTCATTTGAGATCAACTTCATGATGATATGGTTGGTTACTTCACAAGTAGGTTACATTTCATAATTTGATTTTGTGATAAGTTCAAGCACTCAAATCACTCCAAACACCCTCACCAGACTGCAAGAAGAAGATTGCAAGCTTCTGAGGGAAGTTTCAAGTCAGAACACATGCACACCATGGTTGGTTTTGTGAAGGAAATTTGAAAATTGGTTTTTCTGTTTTGGGCTTCAATTGGACCCCTAAAGCCCACAAACCAATGGTATTTAAGCTCTGTGAGAGGTTTTGCTCCATTTTGGAGATCATTTCGCACCAGAACCAAGGATTGAAGTTGGAGCTTGAACGAGAGAGTTGAAAATCGTGTTTTCATTTTCAAGTCAATCCAAGCAAATTGAAGTTAGCAAAGTGTTCCTTATCAAGCATTGAAGCAATCTGCATCGTTTTGAAGCCAGACTCGTGTTCTAGATATCTCAATTTGAAGCTTAAAGTCAGGTATGTAGTTTTCAAATTTGCACTGGTTATAGCATGATCTGAGCATGATTAGTATGTGGATAGGTTTTGATTTAGGATGTAGATGAAATCTGGATCAGAAATTTGAGGATTAGAGACAAATTAGGTGATGACATAATTTCTGTTTGGATGCGAGTTGATCTAATCTTGAGGCTTTGATTCAATTGGAATAGCATGTGATGATCAGTGTTAAATGAGGATTATTTTTCGTACCATTAGTTTGAGTTTTGGTGAGAATTCAGATTGAAGTGCATTTTGAGATCTTCTTCGGGTTTTAAAATCTAGTAGGATTTAGAGGATTTAAAGGTGATATTTGAGATCAGGACAAAATTTGGAGTGAGATGATGTTAAGTTTGAGGAGTTTCCATGACCTGCAAGTGTGTGCTCACCGGAGAAGATGACCGGAGGTCATCTCCGGCCGCCGTCTGCGAGCTTCTCTCCAACTGGCTTTCAAATGGAGAATATGATGTTTCTACCCTTGGATTTGGTCTGAGATTTGACTTTGTAAGCAGATCCATTGGTCACGATTTATTCTGAGAACTTGAGTTTTTGACCAAAACGTTGCATTCCACTTAATGCGCTGGCAGGTTCCTGATCCTTGGATTGCATTGACCGGTCTTCTGATCCAACGCGCGTGTTATTTTCTGGTTTATTTGATTTTCTTATTTCATTTTCATATTGTTTTAATTGCATTTTGTTATTTTAATTCATTTTAATTTCATTATTTGTCAGAAAAATAAAATAAAAATATGCTCATGCTCCTCTTTTAATTTTTTATTTTTCTGTGTTGTTAGATTTAGTTTTTGATGATTTTGCAATTTAATTTGAT